GCACCCAGACATGTAACTTTTTTTAAGTTTAATATTAGTTTTTGTTAATCGCATTGAATGAGCTGCAAGTGGGTGAATAGTAAGTAAGTAGCTGACAGAACACACCCACAATCAATATTTTTTATTCCCTCTCTGGAAAATATCTGCTGAAGATGTAGCCATGCATAAAGGTTCAAAACCTAAAATTAGAAGGTAATTGGGTTCAGCATGAGGATGGAAGTCTCTCTTCACTGTCTACTGCTTGTTCCATTTCACCCCAAAAGCCCCTTCCACCCCTCTTTTGATCTTGCAGAGCCAGACGAGTCTTGCTCTCCATGTGGAAGTGGCAAGTCACATAAACCGGATCCATTTCATAATAGCGTTGCAATTTTCTCTCCTGGAGTGGAGTCGAGCAGGCTTATCTAATTGTGAAAGCCACGAGCCCTGGGATACAGAGAGAGAGGCTAATTAGTTAGAAATGAATGCTTTGAAATGAAGCACAAAGCTCTGTGTGTGGTAGAAACAGACTTCATGCTTTCTGTGAGATCGGGGAGGGGCTGAAGCAGAGCATCGATGATGAGAGGGTTCTGGTGCTCGAATAGGACAGGAAACTGGAGAGTGTGCGATAGTTTACTGCTGACTTTTATGAATGAACAGGTTGATACCTTTGCGCCTGAGTGTTCTTAAGCCTCCAGGATTCAAATAGATAATGTAAGAAGTGGTTTGTTAATATGTTAATCTGCTTGTCATAAACTGTTTTTGCAATTTTAATTGAACAATCCCATTCATTTTCCTCATTAAAGACACATAGCAGGTTAATTAAAATTTTTTGCATGGCAATAGCTCCTGTCACAGGACACAGAAGGCTTGCCCTGCAATATTTTTAAAATGTTCTAAAACAACTAAAGTTATTTTTTGATTAATTCAAATATGCTCTTAAGTTCATTAATTTATTGCTCTGCGCTCTCAAGAGACCACTTTTACACTGTATGTTCTCCCAAGCCTATTTGCATCCCCTTGTCTAGATTGGCAAAGTTAGCAAGTTAAAACAAAATGACCTTGTACTGTCTCTAAGGCGATAGTGCCTACGGATTGTAGCTGCTGTCCAGTGCTGGCTTTCCCTTTTTTTTGCTCTGCATGTGCTCATTTCATGGAAAAGACATTTAATTCTATTCAAGGGCATACTCCTCTTTTCTGTCCCTAGTCTCTATCTCTTTTGCGTCCGTGTGTGTCTGCAGGTGTATTTAACATGCCGTATGTAGACTGAACCTTTGGAAAAATTATTTACCTATAGACTCAGTGGGATCATCCAGAAGAATAGAATTACATTCTAAACATGATTCCTGGTGACTTTGAATTAACCTCCTGCTGTGACAGACATTTCCCTAAGTCATATTTCTTCCGTACTGTCATACTTCCTTAAGCAGTCAACATTAAAAAAAAAATCTTTATTACTTTAGAAGAAGAGATAAAACAAAATGATCTCACTGTCTTTTAGCCTGGGATGAGAAATGACCAGATGAAACGGTTGACCGGACTTTAGGGTATTTATTAAGATTCTGAAAGGACAAATAAATAAAGGGGAAAAACAGAGCTGGGTAGCACTACACTATATATAGCCAATGCTTTCCCAAAACTCAGACATTATTTTCAAGCTCTTACCAGGTACTTTCCGGGACTGCACTGGAATTGATCTGTACCTTTAATGGGACTTAGTAATTACTTTCTCTGTACTTAACAGGTAAATGTCCAAATCTTACAATGTATCTTCTAGTGCTTACCAGCAAGTTTCTCAAATTTTATTTACGTAGGTACTTTTCAAAACCTACAAAGGACTTTCCTGGCAGTTTCATGAAGCATCCTTGTTACCTTCACTAATCCCGCCAGGCACATTTAGAGATCTTATGAGGTACTTTTGTGAGGTTATCAGGTTCTTTGCTAGAGCTGATGGGACATACTGGGTACTTTCCTGCAATTCAATCTGGAGAGACTCACACAGGGAAGAAAATAGCAGTTAGAAGACTTAATGATACAAATTCTTTGGCGCTCGGGCCCGGCAGAAGACTGTGAGTCGCGGATCACCAGGACATCAGCTCGGTCGAGCTCGGTAGGACGTGGTTATTGACAGATGAGTGTAAGCTGGGTCGAGTCTCCCAGCTTGAATTTTCACCGAGGCTCCATTTTACCAGGCGATAATTTCTGCTTTCCAAGAACTTAAAGGATACAGCCATTTGCCATACCAATCTGACAACAGATTAACCAAAATTAAAATTACACATGATGATAAATTTTCCCATAAATGTAACATTTTAGCATATTAAACATAGTACCCAAGACTGGTGCTTCCATATTGTTCAATTAGTTGTAATAAACCTTCAAAGAACAAGGTATTCTACTTATTATTCCTTTTTACACTGACTCTTTTTGAATGCAGCAGTTAAAATCATTATGCTTTATTAAGATTAGAAAATTTTAAGGTTTTTATAATAACATGAAATGTCGTCCTTAGCTTATGCTAATAATACAGAAATAATGTAAAAACTGAAAAGGGTCAAAAAGTGAAGTAATGCACTCCTACTTTAATGCTCTTTAAACCAAGCAAGTATCAGTATTACACAGGAGCAAATAAAATGTGTTCATGATGTGTCTAACTGCAGTGTTTCCATTTTAATGGTCCCTCATGTGTTTCAAGTTTTACCTTCATTAATATATGCTGGAGGCAGCTCAGCAGCACCACTTCTAAATTAGTGGTCTTCACCTGCGTAGAGATTTGATTCTCCTAATTGGCCCCTTTGCTTGCCTGTTTAGTCGCTAGGTTGGATGAAGATTGCCACAGTGAGGCCAGTACTGACCTTGATTTAAGCAGATCAGGTTTTCATCAGACATCCTCGTGGTGGCCTTTTTATCATATTCAGATTTAACATCCACTGACTTCAAACCTATATTTAAAAAAAGGAAAGCAGGATTTCATTTTGGGATTCTATTTACTGTTGGCCACACATAAAAAATAAGTGCTTTCAGAAACAATCAAATAAGACTGGTGTCCGATAAGGATATCTCCTACTACTGCTTTCATGGTAGACAGTGATGAAATTAAAATTAATGATGATGTTTGGTAATTTTTCCATGATATTTACATTTTATATTTACATTTTCTGAGATGCACCTGTATGTATTGATAATATATTTTTGAAAATGTTTACCTTTCTTGGGGTCTTCATGCTTGTAAGTACGAAGTGATTGCAAAGTTTGTAACCACCTAAACTCAATCCCTCGTGGTAAGTGTAGTCTCAGTGGTTTCCACCTGGCAGCAACATTTTCATGAACATAACCAACATATAAAACAGACTTCATGTATTATTTGTCAAGGAAGCTGAAATAGTGAAATGCAAGGATTGATTTTGGAGGCAACCATTTATTTCAGGTCTTAACCTTTTTCTTTGTCTTGTGGCTCTTGTCAACTTTGTATTCTTTATTGAAATAAATTGGCTTTGTAAGTCTTTGGTTTGCATTACTGTTCAATAAGATGAAATGTGGTGTGACTCTACAGGAGTTCCTAGGATACCTGCAGACATTTAAAACACACCAGTCTCTTTTTGTTGGCGGAAGGAAAACAAATACTCAATCAACCAGCACTCTTGCTGAGGTGGCACATCATTTAATCAACCTTGGCTGTCGCTGAATGCTGTTAAGTGTGGAACGCATCGACTGCTGATAGTTGTCGGGGTGTCATTACAGCCTGCGGCAGCCTCTGCGTCCCACACTGCTCCGCTAATTTATGCCGTCTCATTTTACCCTTTGCAAATTTACCGTAGCGAGATATTGTCCCATTGCAAATTGAATCTCATAGAACAGTCCCCCCCCACTCCTGTTATCTGAGCTCACTGAGGTACACCGCGTCCATTGAACCTGCCAACGTAAAAATTGACCTTCATTAAATTTTGTTTTGCTCTCCTTTCATACAAAGATTAGGATCGTTTGTCACTTCTGTCTTTTTGATTGTATCCCGGCACTGGGAGGAAATGACAGCTGTCCCAAATTGCATTTTAGTGAAGGTCCAAATTGTGTGTGTCTGTGAGAAAGGCCTCTTTCATCCATTTAGAAGGGCCATTGCGACCTGTCCTCTTCCAAACCACAGACCGTAATTAGATCATGACATACAGAACTGTTGGCAAAGCTAAACAGAGCAAAGATGGTGATGTAAATATACAATTGTCAGATTAAAAGGGGAGTTAGGGCATTCTTTTTTTTCTTTTTTTGTGTGGAGATGTTATAAAGTTTTATCCCTTATGTGTCCTTAGACACTCTATGGGCTTACTGAATTCACAGATTCATAAATACAACTTTGAGCTAATTTAATTTGGGACCTCTAATTTCTAATCAGAGACATTGTGGAAGATGAATAAGGTGCACAAGGCATGATTGATGACCAAGACTTGAGGAACTTGAAGTGCATTTAAGAGGGAGGAGAAGATAGCTGATTTCTTAGTGTGTTATTTTGATAGCCATTTCCTCTAGAGTTCAGGTAAATAATGCCATTAACAAACAGTTCCTGGAGTGTGACTACAGGGAAGATCCACATCCAGGAAATAGGTGTACCAATTTGTCCCTTATGACCCAGGAATAACATATACTTAAAAAAGATTGTCATTGACTTGCAGATATGTGGCTCCACTAGCAGCTGCATTTAGAATGCACAGCTGGAAATGTGTGTTTCATGGTGTGCATGCGTGTGCGTGTCCAAATGTGTATGTTAGCTTAGCCAGCAGGGGTCCCAAACAAGACACCATGCATCCCACTTTAGCCACCCCTGATAGCTCCGACCGATCCTCCTATCTTCTCTTAAACTGACACATGGAAGAAGGGGAAAGATAGACTTCCATGCGTACACCATCCATATTTGAGCTTTAAAAATAGCAAATTTTCCCTTGAACACAGCTGAGGTGCAACTGATAAAATGATTTGAAACTATTTCTGTGCTTTTTTACTTTTCTAACCTTACATCCTTTCTTCTGTATCAGAAACGTCCTCCTCTGTCATGGTTTATATGGACACCATGACTTCAACAATGAGGACCACGACTCGACCCGTCACCGTCACCCTGACAGCCACAACAACCAGGACTACCACCACCAGGATGCCCGCCACAATAACTGCAGTGGCTGTGTGGCCACACACAACAACCACAACGCCATCACCTGTGCAGACACTGGTGAACGCCTTAGAGCCAGAAGATGATGACGGAGCTCTGCCTTCCTCCAAGCTTCCGAACATCAGGGTGGAATATTGTAATCCCTTGGTGATGATGGACATCGCCTGGCCGAAGACCAGGCAGGGCACTATCGTCAAGATTCCCTGTCCATCAGGGACCATAGGTAATTCTGGTTTGTTTTAATACTTGATCTTTGACGATTACCAAGTAGATGTTTGCTGTGCAGCAGCCTTTTACCTCATCCAAGCGGGTACCGTGTTTATTTTTCTTGTTGTGTCCTCAAGGAACCCAAGCAGGCTTTATAGCAATGCCTTTCATTATGTATTTTATTTTTTGGGGGGGACCAAGTAAGCTGTAACTAAAGTGCAGGAGCCTTGTTTTTAAGTCCACTGAAATTCACCTGAGTTTTGCTAGTTCTATTTTCTATAATAAAATCCTAAAATGAGTTGTGGTGTGGAGAGGGCAGTGATAACAAAACCACAGATCTGCAAGATTTCTGACTAATCCCAGACAAACTCAAACATATCTCTGTTGAAATCAGAAAAGCTCAGCTTAAAAAATAAATAGTATTTCTCTATTTCCTCTCTCAGAGAGGATGTCAATATTCTCCTTAGAAGAACCGGTCTGCTGTGAGTTGCTTGTGTGAGTTTTTGTTTATATTTACACTCCCTGCGCAGCCTACATTCGCTCTCTTCCTGTCTCCCCCCACTGACTCTTTATTCCCGACTCAATGATGCAGCGCTAAAGATAGCATGATGTTGAATTTGTATGAAAACTAGTTACTAAAACATCACACAGCTGTAGATGTACTCTGTGATTCACTGCAGGATAGATGTGAATAATTATAGCTCATTAGTCTTGATCAGGCATTAGACCTTTGTGGATGTGGATGTTTTCTGCCCATCTTTGCATCAATACTAACAGAATAAAGTCGAGTGTAGCTTCAGATTAAATCAATGTTGACTGCTGCACATTTAAAGACATTCCGTCTAAAGGTTAAAAACCCGAGAGCTTTTATATTTTTAATGGTTCAGTTTAGACAAAAACACCAAGCCTGCTGTCAGCCAGGATTCTTTAATAAAGATTTTTGTGGCAAAAAAGTCAATGAAACTGAAAAAAACAAACAAACAAACAAACAAACAAAAAAAAACATTAATGAGTGCTTTATACAGTCAAGAAGGAAACATAGAAAAACAGAAATGCTGGTCTAGGAGCACTTCCATAGGAAAGGAAAGCCAAATGAGACGGCCCTTTGTATGGCTCTTTCCATGCAGAAGACAATGCTACACATGGAGACTCTCTGATAGGGTGAACTGTCAATGGAAAGAAAATTAAAGCAAGCATTCAATATTTGTGGAAGCAATAGTTCCGTCTTGGTTTCTTCTAGAAAAAAGCAAACCTAAACTGAGATGCACTGGGAAAGAATAATATAAGGTTAAATTAAAGATGCTACACAAATTGAATGGGTCTTTTAGTTACTTGGTCATAATAAGACATTTAAAATGGAATCCCGAGTTCACAAAATTAATAAACCAGTAGTGCCATAAATGATTATCCAGAACAAAGAAAACCCACCTCTAACCACAGAAACTCTGGACAAAAGCACATCTTTTGTTTTTTGACAAAACAAAAAGATGACAGTCGTTGCTTTTGTCCGAAGAACAGAAGCACTGGGCAAAGTGTGTTTTCTATCTGCAGTCAACCAAAAAAGTACACAGAATTAATTGGAGTAGCAACTCAGACAGCAGCTTCCTCAGGGTAGAGATACAGGTAAGCACACAAGCGCTGGGTCAGTGGTATTTCTATGAAGAAAACATAGAAAGTACATCAAATTAATGCAGAAATAACTCTTTCAGTGGTTTTATTCAAGAAAAAAGTGGGGTAACCCAAAGAATCACATGGCCAAAGCACCAAAAGTTTTTTTTTGTTTGTTTTTTTTGGACAGTATTATGTTGTTTTTGTTTTGTTTTTTAAATCTTTTGGATGCTTCTTAAGTGCAGAAACGGCTCTGTCAGTAAATATATTTTGAAAAAAAAACAGCTAAAAAACAGTCTTTGGGCCGGTTGTAGGGTTCTGTTTGGATAAGGGTCTGCTAGTATTTCTATGCATAAAAAGCTGCGAGAACACAAACAGTGATGGCAGCAATAGCTCAATTTATTTTACATAACAGAAAGTAGTTTTCACTTAGTATTTAGTTACCTCCTTTGGTAATTTTTGTTAAACAGAGAAAAAAATATTTTCACTACACTTTTTCTTTAAAGGGTTTTGATTATTTCTCTGTCAGTGGGACAAATGAAGCATTTGCTTTTCACCTGGTAATCAGTAAACCTTAGTGCTTGCATATACTCTTCAGGTGAGGTCTAACTACACCTGCACAATGAAAAAAAAAAGGTTTTTTATCTGGTATGCTCAAGTTCAGCTCGGGGCCCAATCCATTCATCAATCAGAGCACCGACAGAGTCACGCACATATACATGTCGTCTTCATTAACGGGACAACGTCAGCGCTCATCGAGACCTCACTAACAGCCAACACATGGTGCAGATAAGAGGAGCCGCTACCCCGCCTCCCCCACTCGGCGCTCCCTTCAAAGTCGTCGCACTTCAGACAACACTGTCAAGCAGAACACGGTCGCGTGAGCTTCCTCTGCCACTCTTTGAAAGTTTTCCGAGCTCCCCTTCCATCTACGTCTTTTCGTTCCCTGTCACTCCTGTCTCTCCCCTCTGACCCTCCCCTTACACCCCATCCTCCATCCCTCTTCTCTTTCATGCTCCTTCATTCTGTCTCTCAGTGCAGGGGGGAGATGCACAGTCACTTATCTTATAAAACCATCAAACACAAGGCTGTCTAAGGTGGACCGGGGAGGGAAATTATATGTCAATCAAAATTTATATCTGTTAATGCAGGTTGTGTCAACCTGCATCAACACTCTGTCCCTCTGTATACAAGAAAGAGTAATTTAATGTCGGCATACAGCTTCGCTGATGTAAGCGGTGAAAGTGCATGCATAGATTTTTAAGGTGAAGAAGTAAATTAGGTTTACATTCATTGCGAAACAATCTCAATTCACATGATTTGTTGAACTTGTACCTGTAATAGCGTATTGGGTTTACATTTAAACCAATAAAAATATTATATTGTAGATGTCAATAGGTGTAACAAGATTAGAAAGGCTTAACATATAACCATGCCGATTAATATTACTCAGTATCTGTAAATGCATTTGCAGTGCTCATCTATTAGCAGAGAGTTTCCTCCAACCTGTTAAATTGACCTTTTCTCGGGATTTCAGCCTTAATTGGCACCTATTTTGTTGAATCTGCTTTCTTATGCAAGACTTAAACAGCCACAGGAGCAGACACTTTCTGACTTTTAATGATTAAATACTGAGTGTGTCTGAATGAGTCCGGCAGCCAGCCTCCACCGAAGCAGATTCATTTTAGCCAGTTTACGATAAAACCATCCAATTACAGTTCTGCAAATTCCATTAATTGGATCACTTAGAAATTTTGTTTCTTTGGACAAGTTTTGCAAATAAGAAAAAGGGCTTGACATACAGAAGACACAGGCAATAGATGAGGAACTATAAAGCATTGTGTGGTGTGTCAGTCTATAATGGAAAAATGGTCGAGGAAAAATTGGAAAATTCTGATAGGCTTGCGTCAGACAAGATTGGTTAGAATGACGGACAAAATACACAGAACAAAAGATGTTTTTAAAACCTCTTAACTGGTGACTTTCTTCTGTCTAAAGGCATGGCTTCATTCATGTGCTTGGGCCCAGAAGGATACTGGGACCTCCAGGGGCCCGACTTCAGCAACTGTACCTCCCCTTGGGTCAACATCATCAATCAAAAGGTACAAAACACAACTTTCACTTTGCACCATTTCAAAAACATTTGGAATTTTTTTCCAGTATCTTTGTATGCCAATGACATTCCAAATCCAATCATTTCTTTTAACAATTTCCTTTGCTAAAAGAACAAAAAAAGAAACAGCACCCTCTTCATATACAATAAGCATAATGCTTTTATATGTATAGGATGCTATTTAAGTTTAAGTTAATTCTATAAAACTAAATAAAGGCAAGTTATTATTTTAGCACAAAGTATACAGAAAGTTTTTTAAAGTGCTGAAGTCATATTGATGACAAAAATTTTTCAGAAGATTTGACTTTAGAAATCTATTGTTTTTAATTCTGATTTAAAGAAGCCAGGAACAGTGGCCACAAATCTCTTACTTTAAGGGAGTTGGTTTAAAAATCTGCAGAGAAGAAAAACTAAATGCTGTTTCACTTGTTGGGTTGTGACCTTAGATGTACTGAGTGACCCCTGCTGGGTCTGGCTCATACTGACAATATTTTGAAGTATTTGTTGGCCCAACATTATTCAGAACATTGTGAAAGATTTTAAAATGGGTCCTTTCAAGCACCAGGATCAAGAGCAGAGATGCAGGGCTGGTGTAATGTGATCAGTTTGGCAACAGCCTTTTAAATGAGCTGCTGCTGCTGCCTGATTATTTTGCTGAGAACTGTGAAGACACCGACAAAATAATCAACTTCACTGAAAATAAAAGCATGACTTATTTGTCTTATTTTATCTACCCTTTATTTTGCCAGTGTTTTAAGTGTTAGGAGTAGAAATCAGAAGAACTTGGAATATAGAAAAAATTCTTTCAGAACAGAAACATTTAGTTTTTATTACTTAGAAACTGTGGAGTACTCATTACTTTTACAAATCTATACTTAGAAAGTCTAGAGAATACCTACTAATACTTATCTTGCACCCAGAAGTCCAGAGGATACTTATGTACTTACACTTGTTTAGCAACCCATAAAAGATTTGAACTTGGAACCCAGAAAAACTACCTTAGCAACTACTTTTTGTCTCTTATTCTTCCAACCCTGAAAAGAAATTAGACCAGAGGACACGTACTTATACTTATCTACTAACCCTACACATGAGTAACTAGTTCATATCATTATTAGCTTTTTCTTCTCTTGCTCTTTTGTTTGGTTTGTATTTCCATTCAAATCCTGTAAAGCACTTTATGTTTTACAGAATAAAACATAAAGTGCTGAAAATGTGTTATATATATATTTTTGCTTTTATGTGGTTTTTGACATATCACATAAAGTCTACCACCCAGAGATATTGATACACAAGAAGAGAGTACATGTGAGTGAACATGATTTGTCTGCTCACATTTATTAAAAACCTACTAACCACAACAAAGTCCAGCAACATAGTCAACTTTTATGTCACGCTGAACATTTACCATTTGTAGCACAAACTCTTGGGTTAAAGTGTACTGCTGTTCTTAACATGTGTAGTTCATTCCTCTTTTTTCTAATTGGGGTACATTGCTTAATGAAATAAACCTTGTTAAAAAACGACTTGAACACTTCAATTAGTTATTACCAGAAAAACAGGAAAGCCTGGACATTTTTTTGGTGAGTTATCAAAAATAATTTGAGTCTGGACAGGATAATTCAGAAATGTTTATGAACCTTGGAAAGGTTAAGAAAGACTTTGTCCTTTCACCCTTCTGTCAGTGCTGCCGCAGCAGCGCTCAGGACAGATATTTCTGTCGCACTCAGTCAACTCTGCTCTATGTTGGTTTCGTTCTTTCCCTGCTCATAATTGGTCAATTAATGTAATTGATTAGCCAGACGGTGCACTCCATAGTAAGCTGATACCTATGTGTGCATGCACATGTGTTTACGTTGGAGTGAAACCCAATCCAACAAACCAGCATAGTGTAATGGACTCCTGTGGGTAAGACTCTATCCACTCTGCCGTCTCCTCTACAACATGATGCAGCAGTTATTGGCTCTCCATAATGCTCGAGCACAAATGACTTGCACCTCCTGCTCTGCAGGCTATTATGCAAAGCCTCATTTTGACATTCCTACACTTCAATCTGTAATCAAATCAAAAAGAGAAGATGGGAAGTGGACGGCAAGTGAGGATCCATGTTTCAGGTTATGAATAGCAAGCAATGGTAAAAATGTTCCACCTGAAACGTGCTGCACCCTGAGGCATGCATGTTATACCACTTATGTTTTACTCTATGGCAGGAACTCAGCCCATTAAGCCAACAGCAGTCTGCTGATAGGAATGGAGAATGGCTATAGTGGAGAAAACTAGGGGTAGAAGAAATAATCAGCTGCAGTTGTGTATGGTGTATTCCATTTGTTGACAGCAATAAAACTGGAACATAAATAAAAACAGCAGAGTTGGTTTGCTTTTCTAGTCCTGCTAAACAGAAATAGTGAGACTACTTTTTATATTATTCAAATCTACAACAAAATTAATTTGAGAAAGTAATATATGTATTTTTAGGATACCAAAAAAGCTATGATTTTTTAAAATATAATTCAAAGGACATGACAGTTGAGCGGTACGCCTGTCTTGGTGGAGGAAGAAAGTCTCTAATGAAGATCAACCCGTCAGGGATTTAGAATGCCCATCTGCCACTTCGTTATTTTATATCCATAGCCATTGTCCTGCGAGTATCACAGCTCATTACCAGATGGTTTGGTAGACGAAATGAGAAAGGACGATGCAGAGGGTAAAAAGGAAACGAAATGACACCAGACAAGCAGAAAGGGAGGGAGAGTAAGAGACACAAAAGAGGAAGCAGAGATATTTACCCAGCATCCTCAGCTCTTCTCATTAGGAGATGAGCCCAGGGAAGCCGAGGACGAAAACATCTTCCAAAGACATGTTCGCTTGCGCACACACCTCTGTGAGGACCAATTTAAGAAGCCTAATTACTTCCCTAATAAACTCAGGGAAGAGATAGCAGGTAACGCTACAAAAAAAAATAAAAAATTTAGCATGATCCAGTTTTTATTCGCGTCTCAGTTTTCTGCATCTCTTATCATCGTACGTTGTTCATGAATTACACCATGGGAAAAAAAAAAAAAAAAAAAAAAAACAGCACCCTCCTGGTCAGGATGTGTAGAAAAGCTAGATGCCCTTGAAAAAAAATATTAATCTACTTGTTTAAGTTAATCAGTCTCCAAGAACTTTTAATTAGTATTTCCATACTTCCTGCTTTCATGGAGTGTGGATTCTTTTAGCTGCTTTTTAAAATGAGAAAGAAAGAAAAGCATGGAGTTTGCCTGTCCTTCCAAAATCACTCCCAAAAGCACATGGACACATCCATATGCTCTTGGATGACTCCCTGGAAAACCCTGGGAAAAAGAAATATAGCTTTGTCTTTTTGTGTATAAACTCTATCTTTTAGATTTTTATTTTTACTTTTTACATTCACCAGGCAGTATGCAGAGTTTTTGTATCATTCTCTACATCAGAATGTACTATTTCTTCATTTCAGTGTGAAAAGCATTCATCAAGTCTTGCAAGTTTATATAGAACATTTCTGTTGGAAATATTTGGCACGATTAGACCCAGAGTGTCACTGTTCAGGGATTTCCTGTAGTTTTGTTTTAAGCTGTCTTTTTTTTTTTTTTTTGATGTAGTGTATCAGCATTATCCATTTCATTTGGTAATAAATCACATCCATATTAAAAAATAAAGGGACATTTAATTATTCTGTGGACCTGATTTGGCGTTCATTGGGAAGTGAAATTGTAGATTTGGCTTCATTCTCAAACAGTACAACAAATATTTGTCATTCTTACATTATTTTATACATTTCAGGTAATACATTTTCCACTTTATCACATTTTGTTGCACCTCACTAGCTTCGGTTTTTTTTTTGTGTGTGTAGTATAGTTGTCTGTTAAAATTAATAAACGTTGGTGAGATTTTTTTTCCTTCTCTGGTTACTACAAATTACATAATTCCTTGCTTGAAATTTTGCTGTACAGAAGCCTTGCTGTGCTACTCTATGCTCCATAACCTTTTTATTCTGGAAATTATTTAATATTCCTTTAAACTAGAGAAATGTATATATATTTTTCAAGTATATATACCAACAAGATATTTCATATTGTACATAATATGTACAACCATAACATGGTATATGTTATGGATTAGTTTCATAAAAGTATAATGCTGTCTGGGGAAATTCACTCAATTGTTTCATAATTGCGTGCAGATATAATATTTTTCCCTGGTGTACACTCAACTGCGTGAGACAGTACACATCTCTGTGTGCACACATTAATTGTCTGCAATATTACAGGAGTTGGGGAAAAATTGCAGGTCAAACTGTATTTATTTTATGGGGGTAGATACTTGTAGATTCCAATTTATCATGTATTCCCTTGTAGCCAGTGAGCTGGTCATGAATACTAAGAGGATACCGCACATTTCTTTTCAAGGGAATAATGTACGTTAGTGTCTTCATTTACAGTACTTCTTTTTCCCCTTTCTTTCTTTTAGATAAAAGCCGGAGAGACGGCAGCTGTGATTGCCAGAGAGCTGGCAGAGCAAACCAAGAGCAACCTTCAGGCAGGCGACATCACCTTTACAGTGAGGGCTATGATTCAGCTTGTGGATCTGCTTGACGTCCAGCTGCGGAACCTCACGCCGGGTGGAAAAGACAGCGCAGCGCGAAGCCTCAACAAGGTACTGAAAGGAACCTTTTTTTGGGGGGGGGCTTCCTTTAATTCTCTTTTCTTTTGCTTTTAAATATATTCTGACAGTTTAACAGACTGGATAAATATAACCCGCGGGAAACAATGACCTATTGCACTTATTGTCGCGACTGTTCAGATCAACATGTTTCAGAGGTTAGAAGAAAAATAAAAAAAATTCAGAGAGCTTACACCATTTGTATTCAAAGGTAAATTTCATAGAATTTCACTTACTTACCATGACTTAGTCAAAGAATATGAATCAGTTAATAGTTTATGTTTATGGTGCAGGTACAAAAATTTGACACTTATTTTATTTACTTAAATTCTGCTGTAATTTCAAGCTCATGTCTTATTCTGCCTTGATCAGAAATAGCGTTCAGCGATAAGTTATAGTGTTTTTAAAAGGTGCTTATGCAGGCAAAAATCTGACTGTTTTCTACAGGAAACCCTAAAAGGCACGGAGTGACAAATAAAAAAGTGCCACCCATTGCTATTAACAGGATTTAATGGTGAGAAAACCCAGCCCAGTTTGAAAGTTTAAATCTAATAAGCTTCAAACTGTGGCATAACTTACAATTTATCTATCAAATGACCCCAATTATCAGAGTATTCCCCTCAAATCCCCTCAGTTCACAATATTAACTTTAAAAAAATTTGAATTTTTCATTTCAAATATCTAATAAATGAATCCATTTAGGAACAAACCATGCTAAGTTTCAGCTCTCGTGGTTCTATTATTTTTATATTTGACCTAAAGTTTTTGCACTGTAATAGTTTCTTTTAGGGTTATGTTTCTGTTTGGCTTACATGACGGGAAACCATTTCCCCAGAAATGCAGTTTTCCTATTTTTCCCATCCAAATTCCTGAAAGGTTTACGAGAAGGAAGTGTGTTCATCTGAAAATTCATTAGTATTGTATTGTTTTTCTAAAATGTTAGAATACATATTTAATATGTGTGGAAAATACCCCAAGTGTTGGACTGTGCCTTGTGGACTTCGCTGGATTGTGATTGGCTGGTCTGCCTGTCAATCATGGTCGACAACAACCTATCAGAGTCTTGATGTGTTGGAACGTTCTAGAGTGTGCCGAACAGTTTTTTTGTTGCAGTGATTTTTTTGCCGTAGTTAAACAGCTTTGCAGCTATAATATAAAAGGCGTGATGTTTGCTGATTTTACTTTTGTGCATTAAGAGTTGTAAGCTGAGTATTAATAAAAGGTCGCCACATCTTTGACCGGATACCTGCAGTTTTTTCGGACATCCATTACCACGCACTTCAGTTCAATTTGGTCCTTCGAGCCGGAGTCTGGAAATATTGCAGGACATGGCGACAAGTACTCAAGTTGGAGATGACGAACCCACGCCCGTGGTAAGGCCCAGACGACTTGCACTTACACGAAGTAATACGGCAGACTATAGGATGGAGATTCGCCAGCCTGTGCATGAACCTGCTTTTAGGGCACAGATACTCCTATCAGATGTCAGTGATTCAGATGCTGAAGATCACTATAGCGCACCCATCAGCCAGCAACCTAGTCCTAACCATTGGAAAGTGCTGGATCAGTGGGAAGATGCTGACGAAGCTGAGAGAGAAAAGGAGTGTTTACGGACTGAAAATCAGTATCAACGTGAAGCTATTTTGGAGCTCACAAGAGATAGAGATGATCTATATCACAGTAACCGTGAGATGAAGAGAGAATTGCAAGAGTTGCGACAAACAGCAGCACAGATGTCCACGGTCCTGGAAACGTTGAAGGTGATGGAACACAAAATGGAGAAACTCACAGTGAGCGAGGCTGAAGATAACTTTTTTGCTTCACCAACATATAATGTACACTCAGCAACATTTCCTGTCCCAAAGCCAAGAATTCGCACACTACAGAAAGCTACGAGGGACGTAGAGCATCATTCACTTTCCTCAAGCATAAGAGATGAGTCTACGTTCCCTCACGAAGACCAGCGTGTGCATTATTCAGACCGAGGCTACAGGTATGGGAATAGAAGAGGCGAAGAGAGTGTGACAGAAAGCCTATCAACAGCTCCAGTTCCTACACCACGAAGTTCAATGAAAATAAAGACCTCTACACCTCCAGTGCCAGCTCCAAGGTCAGTCCCGTCTAGACTATCCAAGTTAGAGCCTTCTGCTTCATTTAAAGGAGAAGATCCTTATGACTGTAGGATTGTCCAAAACTCACATTCTACATCTAAACATGGAAGTACATATAGTGGTCCTGCTCCAACTATACCCTATTTTGTGCATCCAGACCCCCGTGAGTTCTCCAGGCTGAGGATTGCACTTGATAACATTCTGCCTGCTGGTGCTTCTGAACATTTTAAATATCAAGTCCTAACAGATCATCTCAAGCTAGAAGAAGCTCTCCTAATTGCAGATTCCTTTTGCAACTCTCCACATCCTTTCACCGACACGATGGATGCCCTGTTCATGCAGTTTGGCCAGCCACATCAGCTTGCCTTAGCACGAATTGCAGAACTGATGGATGGACCAGACATACGAAGTGGGGACGGGGAAGCATTTCGCATGTTTGCACTACGAATACGTTCCCTGTTGGGCATGTTAGAGCAACTAGGAAGAGAAGGCAGTATTGAACTCCATTGTGGATCTCATGTTTCAAGATTGCTGAGCAAGCTTCCACACGAGCTTAGAAGCAGTTTCAGAAGAAGAGTACATCCAAGTAAGGTTCCAATTCCAACCCTGTATGATCTTGGAGAATGGCTGGATTTTGAAATGCAGGTTTATGAAGACAACACCAGATTTTGTACTTCTACTAGAGACAGCCAAAGGAAACGAAGCACAGAAAAGGACAAAAAGATGGCTTCAAGAAGTACAACATTACTGCTCAGTTCTGGGAAATCAGGAGAGTCCAAGGTTTCTGAACTGACGCAAAATGCCACTACTCCTGAGAAGGAGAAGGCCAAGAATAAACCCTACTGTCCTTACTGTGACCATTCCAGTCATTTTCTGAACGGTTGTCAGAACTTTCAGCAGCTTACAAAGGAACAGAAAGTACAGTGGATCAAAACAAATAACCGCTGTTGGCGTTGTGGAAGAGGACATCAGTCTGCCAAATGTACTCTCAAGGCAACCTGTAAAACATGTGGACGTAGGCACCTGCTGATATTACATGATGTAAATGAGAAATGGCAAGAAAAGGAGGAGACTACAGAGAAAGAGAAACACCCAGGTCAGGGAACCATTGTGGGTGCCTGTCTAACAAGCAGTGTGGATGACAAACTTTATGTTGGACGTTCCTTAACCAAGCATAAAGTTCTTCTCAAAATAGCCAAAGTCCGATTGAGTAATGGGAACAAAAGTATGGAAGCCTTCGCTATTTTGGATGATGGTTCAGAGCGAACCATTTTGCTTCACAGTGCAGCACGTGAGCTTGGTTTGGAAGGGGAGTCTGAAGCTCTCGTACTCCACACAGTGAAAAAAGACTCAAGGGTCATCCATGGCCATGCAGTTTCGTTCTCTGTCTCCCCTGTGACTCAACCAGCAAAGACCTTTTGGATCAACCGGGCTTTCACCGCTAAGTCTCTAAACCTTGCAGAACACAGTCAACCCACTGTTACTCTGCAGCGAAAATACAAACATCTGCAAGATTTACCACTTCAGCCAATCAACACGGTTCAGCCACTTCTCCTGATTGGCTCTGACTTCCCATATCTAATCACTCCCATGGAACCGGTCCTCTTGGGGAATAAAGGTGGCCCAGCAGCAGTCAGGACTCGCTTGGGTTGGACATTACAGGGCCCTGCAGAAGGAGTGAAACCAGGATCAGCTACACAACAATGTCATTTCACCTCATTTCAGTCTCCCACCACTGAGTTGCATCAACAAGTTGAAAAGCTCTGGCAACTTGATGTTCTTCCATATCGGAGCACAAAGGTAGTGACAAGGTCAAGACAAGATAGTGAGGCTTTGTGCACCCTTGAAGAAAAGACTGTCAGAGTTCAAGTTGGCGGAGTACTCAGATATGCTACCCCAATGCTCCGCATTAAAGGTACAGAACCCCTGCATGCTACTCCTGAAGCAACTCTACCGCTCCTCAGAAATATAGAAAGGAGACTTGCTAAAAATCCTGACCAAGCAGAAACATACAAGGCTGAAATGAAGAAACTGGAGGACGCTGGATACATACAGAAGTTACAGCCTGAAGAAGTGGAGAAATCTGATGAAGCCTGGTACATCCCACATCACATGGTGCAGCACAACAATAAAAGCAGAGTGGTTTTTAACTGTTCATTCCAACATCAGGGAAAGAACTTAAACAAACTACTCCTACCAGGTCCTACTTTAAGTCCATCCTTGCTAGCTGTACTTCTTCGCTTTCGTGAACATACCGTGGCCATTTCCAGTGATATTAAAGCAATGTTTCATCAGGTGAGACTTCTCTCTGAGGACAAACCACTGTTGCGATTCCTTTGGAGGGACTTGAAAAGGGAGGAACCTCCAAGTGTTTATGAGTGGCAAGTGCTCCCCTTTGGGACCACCTGCAGTCCATGCTGTGCCACTTATGCACTGCAAAAGCATATCCAAGATCACAGCCAGCCTGGAGAGGACATCCGAGAGGCAGTTGAAAGAAGTTTCTATGTGGACAATTGTCTTCACAGTTTCAGTACAGAAATGGAAGCAAAGATGTTAGTTGATAAACTCAGAGATGTCATGGCTGAGGGAGGATTTGATCTAAGACAATGGGCGAGCAATGTGCCATCAGTAATCAGTCATCTCCCAGAAGACGCCAGATCAACTAGCAGCAATCTGTGGATAAATCAGAATCAGCTCGACACATTTGAATCCACACTTGGACTCCACTGGCATTGTCCTACAGATCTGCTGCACTACAAACATCTTCCTACATGTGACCTCTCAGTGACGATGCGAAGCATTTACAGAACTCTGGCGAGCTTGTATGACCCTCTTGGATATATTATCCCCTTTACCACCAGAGCTAAGGTTGTCATTCAACGA